GCAGTATTAACTGGAATATGTCACATATCAGGGCTGGATTTTGTGGCATTTTAGTCATTGGCTCAGAGAATATATATGTGTATATATGTATTTTTAAGAATATGCTATTTAATTATAGTTTATTATCTGAAAATAAATAAATTGACAGTAGTTTTGTAGTTTAAGGTAGTAATATTCTGAATGTAATATTTTACTTTTGATAGCAAACCCAAAACAAAATTATGTGATTTAGAATTCTGTATTTTGAATAGAAAATGTATTTATTATGGCTGAGTATTAGACAAATTTTTACTAAATGTATCTTTGTTTTCTAGGACTCCTATCAGAAAATCCTCCTAGCCATATGTGTGCAAGCAGCTGAGACAAACAATGTTTATAAAAAGCACAGAATTCTTAAAATCTATCACCTGTTTGTTAGTTTATTACTGAAAGATATAAAGAGTGGCTTAGGTGGAGCTTGGGCCTTTGTTCTTCGAGATGTTATTTATACTTTGATTCACTACATCAACAAAAGGTAAATTATATATTTAGACCAATATATAAGTAGTTTTTCTACTCTTACCTTTATTGAAAATTTGTATGCTTCTTGACATCGCTTATATGTGGAATCTAAAAAATGATACAATGAACTTATTTACAAAACAGACATAGACCGACATAGAAAACAAACAGGGTTACCGAAGAAGAAATGGGGTTGGGGAAGGGACAAATTGGGAATTTGGGATTAAAAGATACCCACTACTATATATAAAATATATAAAAATAAGGACGTACTGTATAGCACAGAGAATGGTATTCAACACCTTGTAATAACCTATAATGGAAGAGAATCTGAAAAAGAAAAAATATGTATGTGTGTGTGTGTGTATACATATATATACATATACACATATATATGTATATATATATAAAACTGAATCACTTTACTGTACACCTGAAACATTGTAAATCAACTAGACTTCAATTTAAAAAAAAGAGGGGGAAGGTATAGCTCAAGTGGTAGAGCGCAAGCTTAGCATGCACGAGGTCTT